CCTGGTGAGAGGTAATAGAATCATGGAGGTGGGTTTTTCCGTGCTGTTCTCATGATAGTGAATAAGTCTCATGAGATCTGATGGTTTTCTAAAAGGCAGTTCCCCTGCACATGCACTCTTGCCTGCTGCCATATGAGACATGCCTTTGCTCTTCCTTCGCCTTCCACCATGATTGTGATGCCTCCCCAGCCATGTGGAACTGTGAGTTCATTAAACCTCTTTTTCTTTATAAATTACCCCATCTCTGGTCTTTCTTCATAACAGTATAAGAAATTACTGTAAATTGGTACCAGATGCTGCTATAAGGATATCTGAAAATGTGGAAGCAACTTTGGAACTGAGTAACAGGCAGAGGTTGGAACAGTTTGAAGGGCTCAGATGAAGACAGAAAAATGTGGGAACATTTGGAACTTCTGAGCTGGGACAGCTCAGAAGACAGGAAGATGTGGGAAAGTTTGGAACCTCCTAGAGACTTGTTGAATGCCTTTGGCTTTGACCAAAATGCTGATATAATATAGACAATAAAATCCAGGCTGAGGTGGTCTCAGATGGAGATGAGGAACTTGTTGGAAACTGGAGTAAAGTTCACTCTTGCTATGCAAAGAAACTGACGGCATTTTGTCACTGCCCTAGAAATCTGTGGAACTTTGAAATCTAGAGAGATGATTTAGGGTATCTGGCAGAAGAAATTTCTAGCAGCAAAGCATTCAAGAGGAAGCAGAACATAAAAGTTTGAAAAATTTGGAGGCTGATGATGCTATAGAAAAGAAAATCTCATTTTATGGAGAGAAATTCAAGCCAGCTGCAGAAACTTGCACAAGTAACAAGGAGCCAAATGTTAATCACCAAGACAATGGGGAAAATATCTCCAGGGCATGTCAGAGACCTTCACAGCAGTCCCTCTCATTGACAGGACCCAAGGCCTAGAAGGGAAAAATGGTTTCCTGGGCCAAGGCCAGGTACCCACTGCTGTGTGAAGCTTCAGGACTTAGTACCCTGCATCCCAGCTGCTCCAGCCATGACTTAAAGTGGCCAAAGTACAGTTCAGGCCCTTGTTTCAGGGGGTGCAAATCCCAAGCCTTGGCAGCTTTCATGTGGTATTGGTCCTGTGGGTGAACAGAAGACAAGAATTGAGGTTTGGGAACCTGCCTCAATGAATCTCCCTAGATTTCATGATATAATAAAATGCCTGGATGCCCAGGCAGAAGTTTGTTGCAGTGGCAGTGTCCTCATGGAGAACTTCTGCTAGGGCAGTGCAGAAGGGAAATGTGGGGTTAGAGCCCCCACATAGAGTCTCTACTGGATCACTGCCTAGTGGAGCTATAAGATTAGCACCACCATCATCTAGACCCCAGAATGGTAGATTGCCCAACAGCTTGCACTGTGCACCTGGAAAAGTCACAGACACTCAATGCCAGCCGTGAAAGCAGCCAGAAGGGAGGCTGTACCCTGCAAAGCCACAGGGACAGAGCTGTCCAAGGCCATAGGAGTCAACCTCTTGCATCAGCATGACCTGGATGTGTGACATGGAATCAAAGGAGATCATTTTGTAACTTAAAGGTTTAATTAATGCTCTATTGGATCTTGGACTTGCATGGGGCCCGTAACCCCTTGTTTTGACTGATTTTTCCCATTTGTAAAAGGTGTATTTACCCAATTCCTGCACCCCCATTATATCTAGGAAGTAAATAACTCACTTTTTTGTTTTACAGTCTCATAAGCAGAAGGGATTTGCCTTGTCTCAGATGAGATTTTGGACTTGGACTTTTGAGTTAATACTGGAATTAGTTAATACTTTGGGGGACTGTTGGAACGGTATGATTGTGTTCTGAAATGTGAAGACATGAAATTTGGGACGGGCCAGAGGCAGAATGATATAGTTTGGCTATGTCCCCACCCAAATCTCATTTTGAATTGTAGCTCCCATAATCTCCACAAGTCATGAGAGGGACCTGTTTGGAGGTAATTGAATCATGGGGGTGGGTTTTTCCCATGCTGTTCTCATGATAGTGAATAAGTCTCAAGAGATCTGATGGTTTTATAAAGGGCAGTTTTCCTACACACACACTCTTACCTGCCACCATGTAAGTCATGCCTTTGTTCCTTCTTCACCTCCCATCATGATTGTAAGGCATCCCCAGCCACGTGGAACTGTAAGTCCACTAAACCTCGTTTTCTTTATAAATAACCCAGTCTTGAATATTTCTTCATAGCAGTATGAGAATGGACTAATACACCTTGGTTTCAGGATCCATGTATTTTTGCTGTTGGGGACATGGCATCAAATACAAGTGTCTAACTTGGTGCATGTAATACTTCTGGAACAATGACATTTCTTCCTTGCACAGTATTGCCTCCAAAGCAGCACTTCATGTGGGCCTTCAGTTTCTAAGCTCTACAAAGCCAATTCCTTCTACATGGTGCAATTTTTTGATATTTCCATTGGATTCCAGTGTCGTAAGCCTACTTTTACAATTCCTTTACTGTGAAGGTGGCCCCTGGAAAGATACTATGGTGTTAGAATTCCATGCCTGTGGATCAGCCATTGTAGAAACCACTGGATAGTGTTGCTGACCAAGACCCCAAGGGAAGGAAAAGCAAACCCATACCAGGAACAGGTAAAATAAATATCTGACCCTGAGAAGACAAACCACAGATAGCTCTCAGGATAAAAGGGGTCCAATGTAGCAAACTTGCCCCAACAAGCTGGTCTCCTTGAGGAATGCTGTCATATCAGGTGTTCATCATTGATCTATGTTCTGGCAATTTGGGCATTCAAATGATGTAGTGGCTTGGTAAGCGTTGGTAACTGGAAGCCCTATTTTTGGGCCCATGTGTAGCCTCTTTTTCTGCCACCATAGTCATTCCACTCGTGTGCCCATTGAGCCACTTCCATGATGGACAATGATGGCATGAATTGGTTGAGTAATTTTGTCTATTTGGTTGTTCAGGACTTTTCTATGGTGGATGATTTCTGATGTGCATTAATGTGTGATACAAAAGTCTTCACACTTGAGGCCCATCCCACATGTCCATCCACATGCCTCTACTCCCAGGCTTCTTTGCCTCTAATCTCCCAGTTGTTTGTCTTTTATGCCCCTGACCAGCTGTGGCCACTCTTCTTCCACATGTAGTGAATGACTGGATGTACCACTTATGGCTTCACCCATTAGGAGGATTTCCATTCATTGCTGTCTTTCAAAGCCCCACTTTGAGTGGCTGTAATGCAGGCACTGTCCTTTTTTGGCTGCACTAATTTATCTGGCCGACCCATCTGTAAACCAAGTTCAAGGTTTTTCATTCACTTTGAGATGACCATATAAGACCCTCTTATGTGACCATAAATGTGAGCTTGGAGAGAGGTGCTAGTGCATTTATGATAGGTGACAGCAGATCTGGGCCACCTGCTCATACAGCTGATTCATGCCCTTTGACTCTGCATAGGCTGAATCTTAGATGCACAATTTCCATCTTAAGATGCATTGTTGCTGGCTCCTTGTGGCCGCATAATGCATGGTCACTTGGTACCATATAGTCAAGCATCCTATTTCAATCAGGACACTGTAATACACCAATGTCTTAGCTCATTTCATGCTGCTATAACAAAATATCTGAGACTGGGTAATTTATAAAGAACAGAGATGTATTTCTTACATTTGGGAGGCTTGGAAGTCCAAGATTGAGGGGACTATATCTGGCAAGGACCTTCTTGCTGCATCCCATGGTGGAAATGGAAGGGCAAAAGACCAAAGTCTTGTGCAAGACAGCAAAAAGCACTGAACTCATCCTTTTATAAAAACCCACTCCCACAAAGCTAACCCACTCCTGATAATAATGACATTATGAGGGCATAGCCCTCATGACCTCATCACCTCATAAAGGTCCCACCTCTCAATGCTGTTGCACTGGGGACCTGGTTTCTAATGTGTAAACTTTGAGAGACACATTTAAACCACAGAATCCAGAAGCATTCTCAAAATAACTGTGTAATTTTCTACTGAGATGACATAGCCTTGCTACAGAATTCCAGGGCCCTTCATTGTGATTCTCCCTCTGAGTCTTGCCATAAATCCCATGCTGAATCTTTTCCTACTACCAACACCTCCAACTCCAGTAGCCATATGATATGGCCCCAGCAGTAGAGCTGCTTGCATCATACCCTGGATCTGCTGGCCCAGAGTGCTGGCCCATGGGCTACAGCAGGAGTCTTATAACTTTACTGAAACTATAGTTCCCTGAATCTTCATAAGGTTTATTTTCCAATCTTTGAAAAACATGTTCTTAGCAAAGGCTCCCAACACACTAGCAACTTCTTGCTTGTCCTGCCAAAGCTACATGATGTTATCAATATAATGAATCAATGTAACAAACCACAGGATGTTCAGGTGGTCCAGATATCTTCAGGTTATACTATGATAAAGAGTAGGAGACTTAACATAGCCCTGGGGCAAAACTCTAGATAAATAGTGTCCATTCTGAACTATTTCTGATCCTTTTTTCTGGTTGCAATAGAAAATATTTCACCAAGTTAATGGCCATATACCATGTAGCTTAGGATTTATTAATCTACTCCAGTCATAAAAACATGACCAAAACAACAGCAGCAATTGGGACTACTGTTTGATTGAATCTGTGCTCATCTACAGTCTTTCTCCAGGATTCATTTAGGTTGAGCAGGACCCAGATTGGTGAATTAAATAGAGATGATTGAGAGTATCACCCCTGCAGTATTTAGGCCTTTAATGGTGGTAGTAATCTCCACTCTTCCCCAGGATGTGAAATTTGTTTTGATTTACACTGTTGGCCATGGAGGGGTGGGAGTTTTAAAGGCTTCTACTTAACCTTTCCCACCATAATAGTGATTATCCCATAGCCAAAGGTCCAATGTGGGAGTTACTCTTCAAGTATATCAGTTCCGGTAATGTGCTCAGACACCAGAGAAATAACCACTGGGCATGTCTGCAGACCCATAAGCCAGCTGGAAGCCAGACATTAACCAGCACTATATTTTCTGTCTCATTTCCCCCTACTCTAACAAGGGGGCCCACAATGATGCTTTGGAGCTCCGGTGACAATTTATACCTTGTTTACACAGACCTCAAAATGTCTGAGTATTCCTTTTTCCCTAGTGTACAGTCACACAAGTAAATGGTCATGGGTCTTTTTGAAGAAGGACTAGAAGAGCCATCACAGCATATTCTGGCTACAGTATTGCAAGGTCCTTCTTCCTGGAGGTCCAGCCACTCTTCAGTCAGTGAGCTCTAGTTTTGAAAACTGGCTAAGATCCAAGAACAGAGGAAGGGCTTTTTTTATTGGAGAATCACCTTCATGCTCCTGCTGTTCTATTCTTGTCTTCTGATTAAAGACGTTCAGCAGCAGCTTTATTGGCTGCCTGTCTATGCTGTCCCTAAAGATACCCCGCTTTCTAAACTGTCTTCACAACCACCTGCATGTCAAGCCCCCTCGACTGCACCTCTAACCTTGCTAATCATTATAGTCATTCTGACCTCCCAGCTTCAGGCAGTTAGATCCCAACATCTGACCTCTCTTGAAGTCAAAGAAGGGATTATTCCCATGGTTGTTAACAAGCTCAGCCCTGGGACTTACCTGTCCTACCATCTACCCTGACCTGCAAAGGAGGCTCTCCACTGGGTTTAGAGAGGCTGATGCCATCTCACTGGCATATTCCTGATGGCCATGGTGTGTGGTGTGCCCTCTAGACCCTCCCATGGACCCTAAGACTCCAGTAGGTCTTAGGGTCTCACTTAACATATTCATTCCATCTGGCCCATTTTCCTAAGTATTTTCCTTTCTTTCTGTCAGAAAAACTCAGCTATTTTTACTTTTCTTCTCATGGCCCATTGCTTCCTTCAGATTTCTAGGAGCCACCCTAACAGCAATTCTGCCCCATCTCCTAGGATCCTTGCCAGCACGTTAAATTTCATGTCCTGAGAAAGTGCCCTCAAGTCAATGAATTCTGGTTTAAACAATCTTTTGTCTGGTCCCTTTAATGAAGGCCCCTCAGACTCCAATCCCAGTGATATTCCTCTGAATCCTGTTGGTACAGGACAGCCAATACTTGCAGCTCCTTCAGGGTATAACCTCTTTCCTCCCTTATCAGGCTTCGTACATCTCCAACCAGGTTATGCTGGAATTTAGCCCAAGTTGTAAATCTAACAGCAAGGAGAGGAGATGGGGGCAGGTGCTAGTGTGACTAAGGAGGGGTGGGCCACCCCTGTAGGCTCTGAGGATTCAAGGTTTCTGCAGAGCCACAATTCTTAGGGGCATCCATGCAAATGTCTCTATCCTATATTTCAGGGTCCCACATTTTCCTAGTCAAAGACCTGAAGTTAACATAACAAACATGCGTTTGTGGAGCATTTAAATGCATCCCAAACTCTGAAATTCCATTGCATTCTGAGTCTGCCTCCTGGCTGTGTCCAAACTCCCACTGAAGTGGAAAAGGGCCTCTTTGTAAACTACCAAGTCCTCTGGAGCTCAGATTCAGCCTTTAGCTCTTTGTTAACTGCCTCAGTTTCTCTTCAGTTGTCCTTCACTCCCAGTGGCATCATTACCACCAGCCAACTTCACTGTTATTGTAGACATCATTCCCTCATATCTTTCAAATACCTGAATCATCACACTGATAAAGGTGTTTCTCTCCACTGGGACATTTTCCCCAAATCATCACAGGAGAAATTTTCAGCAAGTGGACCACTACCTTGTGCCAGGGATTATCTATGTCCCATGTTCTATTCAGGCTGGGATCCTTCTTACCAACCAGGCAGTAAGTGAACCAGTCCCCACATCTTATCTTACTATTTCCTCACAACACTTCTGGTACTACCCGTGTCAATTCAGATGCTCCAAGAAACAGACACCAAGACGGAATGAGATGTGCAAGAGATTTATTAGAGACATGCCTGTGAAGGAGCAGGAGTAAATAGAGAGAACCTTCAGACAGCAGTGCATGTCTGACAACAGTGGAGAAAAACTGGGTAGGAAGAACATCAGATTGCAGGGCAGTGCTGAGAACAGCCAGGCCAACATGGAGACCCCAAGCAGGGCTGCCTGTGAGGGGATTCAGGCACCTGCCTGGCACCAGTAACTCTGCCATGCTCAGTCATTGCTTGGGAGCAACCAGGGAAAGCATGGCCTCAATACAAACACCTTGGCAGATCTGAAGGTATAGCCACAGCTGCTAGAAGCTGCATGCTGATTCTTCTCCTGCAGCAAGTTCTCTCAAAGGGAGATCTGAAAAGTGCTTCTCCATGGCACCACACGCATGCAACAAAACACACATAGAATGGCATATTCGAGCAGGAGACTCAGCTATGAATGAGTCCTATTAATGCCTGTTATGCATTAATGCATATTAATAGGCATCAGAACTAATCACCACCTTAGAATGATTCACACTCTGTTCATACAGTGCTAGATAAATAAAACCCTCAAGGATTCTAGCCTTGAATCCTCAGGGCTAGAAAATAAAATTGTTAAAAATGCAAATATTAATAAAAATTATGACTTCTCAGAATGGTATATGTTACACCAAATTATAGCTATTATTAAGAGTCAGTAAGGATGGCAATAATGATAGTTGCCCTTTCTGATGAAGCAATTCGAGATTAATTGGCAATAAATCTGCAAGAAGTGCTTCAATCAAATATAGAAGCAGCTCAGATCTGTAAATTTTTTCTCATGTTTTCAAACATTGTTTACCATGCCTTTGTTAAATGTATATTATATTTATTCCAAGATACATATTGTGAGAGGGGCATAAAGTAGCAATTTGCTAAAGATATGCACACACAATGCTTTATCCTGTCTTTTAAATTTCTCATAGCTCTTTTTCTTTCCCATTGAATACCTTCTTTTTTCTGCACCTGAAAGAATTTTAAAGCAGTTACAATATGGTTCTGGAAGAAGGTAATTACAGATGTGATGTGAAGATTGTATCTTCATAGCAATAACCTGAAATGAGATGAGTTATCCATATTATCTGATCAATATAGGCAGACACTAATTCAAGCCTCAAAGAATTCGGATGTTGTTCTTTTTTAAATGAAAATGTCTGAATTAGGAGCCTTTTATTGTGACTAATAAACCAGATAATCTACCTTAATTGTGTTGCTTTTACCTAGTCCCTATTGATCTCTACTTTTTCTCAAGTCCTTGAGAATTTAATATCCATAATTTTCATTCAACACACATTTATTAGTTCTAATAATGATTTATAATAGCAATACTACCTTTTACTACCATCTTATATGTCCCAGAGACTATGTTCAGACTTGAATATAAAAAAATTAAGAGGGACCTTGTACTCGAGGACTCACAGCTAAACGGTAAGACAAATGTGTAAAGCCATAGCTAAGGGTTTTATAGAGACAGGGACAAGACACTCTGAGTATATACAGTAGGCACATGAATGAATACTCTCCCATATGTTATTTTCCTAAATAGCATATTGTCAGATCTTTAAAAATAAATCTCACACTTTTTTCCATCACCTATAGTAAACAATGCATCTAACATATGTTGAACATTTATAACAGGCATTATAATATATTTCCTCTTTTTTTGGTCATTCCACCAATATTGTTGGGTTTGATCTTTGTTGATCATCTCTATCAGTAATATCCTTAATGACCTAGAGAAATAAACAAGAGGCCGGGTGTGGTGGCTCATGCCTGTAATCCCGGCACTTTGGGAAGCCAAGGCAGGAGGATGGTTTGAGCTCAGGAGTTTGAGACCAGTCTGGGGAACATAGTGAGGCCCCATCTCTACAAAAAATTAAAAATTAACTAGACATGCTGGTGTACATCTGTAATCCCAGCTACTTAGGAAGCTGAGGCAGGAGGACTGCTTGAGGAGGGAGGCTGAAACTGCAGTGAGCCATGATTGTGCAACTGCACTCCAGCCTGGATGACAGAGCAAGACCCTATCTCAAAAAGAAAAGAAAAGAAAGAACCCAAGAGATATTATATTTACTTCTTAGAGAAAAAAATACAAAAGAGCATTTAGTATGACTGAAACCTATGCAAGGTAGGATCAAAGTGTTCTGGGAGTCAAAGCAGAATGCCTCGGGGAGAGTTGCCCCTATATTCTTCCAAATACTGGTTCATTCATTCTTAAAAAAAAAAAAATCAACTTTTATTTATTTTAGATATGGGAGTTAAAGGTGCAGGTTTGTTACATGGGTACATTGCACACAGGTAGTGTGCATAATACCCAATTAGTAGTTTTTTAACCCATGCCTCCTCCTTTCTCCCTCCTGCCTCTAGTATTCTGCAGTGTGTATTGTCCCAATGTTTAAGTCCATGTGTGCTCAATGTTTAGCTCCTAAATATAAGTGAGAACATGCAGTATTTGGTTGTCTGTTCCTGCTTTAGTTCACTTAGGATTATGGCCTCCAGCTGCCTCCATGTTGCAGCAAAAGACATGATTTCATTCTTCTATGGCTTCATAGTATTCCACTGTATATATAGACCACATTTTCTTTGACCAATCCACCATTAATGGGCACCTAGGTTGGTTCCATGTCTTTGATATGGTGAACAGCATGGCAATGAATATATGAGTACACTATGTCTTTTTGGTAAAATTATTTTCTTTTGGATATATATTCAGTCATGGGATTGCTGTGTGAAATGGTAGTTCTGTTTTAAATTCTTTGAGAAACCAAATTGCTTTCCACAGTGGCTGAACTATTTATATTCCCACCAACAGTGTGTAAGCGGTTCCTTTTCTCCTTAGCCTCACCAACATCTGTTGTTTGTTGACTTTTTAATAATAGTCTATCTGCCTAGTATGAGATGGTATCTCATGTGGCTTTGAGTCGCAATCCTTTGATGATTAGCCATGTGGAGTAGTTTTTCATGTTTGTTGGCCCACTCATATGTCTTCTTTTGAGACGTGTCTGTTCATATCCTTCGCCCATTTTTTAATGGGATTATTTGTGTTTTGTCTGTTGATTTGTTTAAGGTCCTTATAGATTCCTGGATATTA